GTGAGCGAAAGTATGAAAGAGGAAGATACCGTTATACCGTTATATGTGGGTGGACAATAAGAGTTTGTATGAATGAAAAGTTATCATGCAGGGAAGAGCACTGGAGAACTCATTAAAGCCAAGCTTTCACATGGATATAGCATTTTTTGATGATAATGATGACGGTGATTCATGCAGTCTGGAAAAGCAACCCAGTCTTAACAAAAAACAAAAACAAAACATGTCTGAAGTGAGAATTTAACCTCAATTAACCACTTTCCCAATGTGTGCAGAAAGGGGGAGGGGGGGGGGGGGGGGGGGGGTGGGGGGGGGGGGGGGGGGTGGGGGGTAGGGGGGGAGGAGGATGCCAATGGGGGGGGGGGGGGGGGGGGGGGGGGGGGGGGGGGGGTTAGGGAGGAGGAATGCCATGTCATTAATGTCATTAAGGACAGTTAATTGATTATTTGCTGACACTAAACGTGTTGGGTTAAATATGTGCAGATAATGCAGCCTAGTTGTAAACCACAAAACAACATGTCTTTTGTGGGTGAAAACAGAAGAAGAAGAAAAAGGAGGAGGAGCAGCAGGAGAAGAAGAAGAAGAAGAAGAGGAAGAAGAAGAGGAAGAGGAGGAGGAGGAGAAGGAGGAGGAAAAAGACGAAGAAGAAGAAGAAGAAGAAGAAGAAGAGGAGAAAGAAGAAGAAGAAAAAGAAGAAGAAGAAGAAGAAGCAGCAACAGCAGCAGCAGCAATCATCAACAGAGCATTGATTGGTTTATAAAAGTATAGATTCAGGACTACATGCTCACTAAACTAGGAAATGGAATATATACTTTTGTTTTTAAAGATCCAACATCACATCCTAGTCAGTTAAAGTAATCCACACAAACTGTTGGGATTGAGGAAACTAAGTTCAAATGCAGGCACAACACTTCAAACAATAGGAAATAACACTCACCACAACTGCTTCCACCAACGACTGGGAAGACTGATTCCAGGCCTCGGTAGCAGTTGCGCCCTTGTTCAGATGGCTTAGAAATCGACTGTTTGCTTCCCGAACTTGTCTACAGTATGGAGGATACAGTTTGTTATTTTACAAAGATATTAAAATGCAGGAACAAATATTAACTTCTTTAATGATTATCGCTTTCAGAGGTCTCAGGTAGTCAGTATCCTTTGGATATTTTTTCCAGGTCATGCCGGTGTTTTAGGAAACAAACAGAGAGATAGGCTGGCTGGTTCTATACCACTTGGTGGCGAACTGATGCACGACAAGCTAGATGGTGTCAGGGTTATTTAGAAGTGAATGAACTGTGCAGAAGCAAAACAGATCTCTTCAGGAGAATGACTCTGCAAGGAGTGACCCCGGATCTGGCACTCACCACTTAACAGAAAGGCGGGACAGAACTGATATACAATCAGACTGTTACTAGTGCCATTGGAACTGAAACTCTGCGACTTATGGGAATGTCCCAAGTACTGTTATGTTGACTCTTAATTCAACATTCAAGACTATCAAAATACGCTATTTAAATACCTGTAGCATTGAGCATTGGTAGTATTAAATACCTGTAGGGATTGTGTTTCCTGAAGAGTTTACTCACCGTACACCGAGCCAAGTAAAGGTCAAGGACCTGTTTCATGCCACTGACCCTTCAGACATATGGTGCTAGACCCACATGTTTATACAGCAGTCAGCACTCAGTGTGTGATGTGGTCAAAACTATCTCAGTCACCTTTACTTCCCAGGCCATTTTTTGCGACCCATTCAAGGCTGGATTGATCTGAGGACCAAGGACATTTGATATAAATCTATGGATCTCCTCACAAAGTGGTAAATTCGTTTACTCCGCGCTGTGAAGATCGGGGGTTTGTTTCACGACTGCAATTTTTACGGAGATCACTGGGATCATCACAGGAGCTAAGGAGTTTGTGCTTTGTGTGATGCTCTTAGCAGACAGCTAGCCATTCTGTGGAGAGAGACCAAGCCATGGAGAATAAAATCTGCCACAATGAAGTCGATCCTTAAACCTTCAACATTTTATATAAATCTGCCTAGTCTGAATTTGAACCCGACCTTTAGGCTAGCACTACCACCAATGATCGTACATTGTTTTCAACAATTCTTTGCTCGGGTTTTGCCCAAAGTCCATTGCACATTAGTGTAATCATCTGATAGCCAGTTTAACATGGGACGGTGGAAAGAACCCCACAAAGCTCTAAGGAATCCAGAACAGGTTGGAATCTTAAAAAAAGAAGACTTTTAATAAAACATGAAAATATAGACTACATGTTGAATTACACTAAAAAAAATATAAAATACCCCCTGCGGGATTACAGCCTGAAAGACTGTAACACACTTACTCAGACAACCACTAATTAGACACAAATCGAAATGGAGAAAAGCACCTTCAACCATATCTTCTTATTAGTGTTTACCGGCTGTAAACTCTAGCAGAACAGAAAGTCCTGGTTGTTTGTCCACTTCTGGGCTTTGGTCTTGTTCCAGAACTCGAGTTGTGTGTGCGCATCCATTTTACAGATCTGGCTTATTTCTATGCAAATTGTTGGTTCCCTGCCACTCAAGCAAATGCACTACTCAGAAGGAAACACCTCTAATTAGTAATCTTTTACGACATGTTTGTTGTGAGACAGTGGATCTATTCTGTTTCTTTACATAAAGGGGTCTTGTAACCCACATGGGGAATTCAATGATATAAAACAAGCAGAAATCATCCATAGAGCACTGACTGACTTGTAAAAGTATAGATTCAGGACTACATGCTCACTCAGCTTTGAAGGTTCTTGCAGTTACCAGTTAATCTGCTGTCCAAAGTGGATCAGCGGATGCGATATAAATATAACTGTAAACATTTAACTCACTGAAGACACTTTAAGACTTCCGATGTGGGTTATGAGACCCCAGAGTTGGGCAAAACAGCTTTCTGTGGTGATTCCATGATCCAAGTTCTGGAAAAAATAGCTTCCTGTGTGGGTTCTGAGTCCCCAATTTTGGGAAAACAGCTTCCAGTTTGGGACCTGAGACTCCAATTTAGGGGGAAAACGCTTCCTGCGTGAATTCCTATATCTGAATTTTGGGGAAAATAGCTTCCTATGTGGGTTCTGAGACCCCAATTATGGGAAAAGCAGAACAGACCCACTGCACGTATGTCATAAAATGTGACTAATTAAGGCCTAGCTGCAATCAGATGTGTTGGGCCATAATGTGCAGAGATCACATCCTAGCTGTAATCCACAACACAATGTGCTAACCGCCCTTTTTAGTGCAAACCAGAAGAAAAATTTTCACAAGACATGAGGCAACAGCTTCAATATTGTAACTCAACTGACCTGGCTGCTCTGTGTTCGTAAGCAGCAATAAGTTGGTCCAACTCCAGGTTCTCTGTCAACCTGCTCTTCTCTCCCTTGGGTGCTTGCAGGAAGCCGGCTAAACTGGGCAGTTGCTCTCCCTTCTCTGCTGCATTGTAACTCTTGATCAGAAATCTGAAACAGGTAACAAACAATCTGCAGCCTAGACCTCTAAAGACAACATCTCACTGAGTGAAGAAATAAGTCTAGCACATGTGAACGTGTCCGTATGGACCCAAGATTAACATATAGGAACAACTAAAACAAGAATGCAGGAAGCTATAAATAGTTAAGAAATGGACACACTTTTGTGGAGTCACAATAAACTAGATCAAAACTGTCTCAGCTCTCTTCTCTCTTTCTACAAAGCCAGAACAAGTTGTTCTGCACCTAGAAGACAATATTCTTCCAAAAGAGGATAACCCCACATATTAGGGAGTAAATTTCGACAAAAGGCTAAACTGGGGCCCCCACATCGAAGACACCCAAAGGAAAGCTACCCTGAGGGTCAGACTTATGAAAAAACTTACTGGAACAAGTTGGGGTGCAGATGCCAACACGGTACGACAAGTATACACAGGATACGTGCAACCAAATCTAGAGTATGGCATGGGAGCAGTTTGGACAAAAATGAAGGTGATTTTGAGAAATGCTGCATTCTGTATCAGATGCAGCCACTGTTTCCATATATGCCTTCAGTCCCCAATAAATCAAGTGCTTTTTGTTTTGTTTTTTTGCTCTTTAGCCGCCCAGGAGATCAAGCTACTAAAAAAATGTAACCACCCCAGGAACATGAAAGAAGCCAAACTAAAAACTTACCGTGCAGCTTGCAGGCAGAGCACAGTATTTTCACCCTCATAGGTACAAGCAGAAACCTCATTGGCATAGAGTTTTGGTAAACCACTGGCCGATGAATAGCCATGACCACCACATGCCAAGCGGCACTGCTCAATGCCAAACATCATCTGCCAGGAACTGAAGGCTTTCAGGGATGCTGACAAAGCATGAAGCTGAAATGAATGGTTCATCATCGAATCATCTTTATAAAAGATTTGTGTTTTATGTTTCAGGTCAAGAAAGAGTGGCTTTTTACTCATTATGGAACCATAATTCACCTTTAGTGGATGCATAGTGAATGGGTCATAGCAGGAGTCACCACATAAATGTTTCCTTAGGCCAAGAGAATGTTCTCATTAAATTCCCCACTCTTTGTTTACTGATATTTAAAGATCCATTTTCACGCCTTAGACATATGGGAATAGCATCCCATATTTTGCAGACCAATCGGCACTAGGTGGGTAACGTGGTCAGCATTATGCCGGTCGTCTTAACTTCCCTAGGAAAGCCATCCTGGTACCCATTTTAGGCTAGGTTGACCTTGCCCCATATGATTTTAAAAAAACCGCAGCCAGCAGTGGGTTTGGATTGTGGTATGTTGGTATTATGAGTCGCCTAAGTCGCAGACGCTGCTGTTTACTGATATAAGGTTAGTTGCGTATCCTTTACAGGACGTTGCAGAACCAACCCCAACAGCCCCTGGCAAATTAACGTCCAGTAGTTTGTCATTGCTTTTTGGGCAGTCGGCTTTCTTGAAACCAACGCAAGGCGCATGGCCCGCAGCTGGGATCGAACTCAGCATTCCGGCATTACGAAGCGTTCTCATCGACTTAGCCACACAGCCAACGTTTACTGATATATGGATACAAATTTTACAGAACATTTTGCTTATAACCTGTGTAAAATTATCACTTTTTTCCACCCAAAGGTTTTCACTTAGCAAATTCCCAGCTCTGATCCTTTTCATCTCCACTGGTTTCTGGGGTAAAAGAGTTAACAAGCATGATGGGTGACCAATTAATGGTCTACTGTTGTGCCCAGAAGCCCAAGCAAAAAAAAAACCATGAATACAATAGTGCTGGCAATGAACCGGGAGTAATTTGTTAGCTTCCACAGGCCAGATTTGGCCAACGGGCCGCCAGTTGAATAGACCTACTCTACACAAATCCTTGTCTTTGGTGTTGTGCTCCTCGAATCTTTCGGACCCATAAGATTTTGTACAAAAATCATTACTGTTTTAATTAAATATTGCCACACACTTTTCTTACTACTTGCTACATTTTCATCATCATGTAGCAGGTCCTTTGCAGAATGTCGCTCTGAATATGGTCTACCTGAATAAAACTCGGTCTCTTTCCAGCTCTCCCACCTCATGTACTTTCATATTCAGGGACACTTACATCCTGTGCCTATCTTTGTGATGTTGGCTCCTTCCCTCATTTCTGTGTTGTAGGAGTGAGAAATGACTGAAAGATACCTCTTAGGTTTCCTATTTATTTAGTTTACACTGATTAAAACTTAAATATTAAGGAGCCACCTAATGGGATGTTACAGACATGTGGAGAATAGTCAATAAAACACCATGTGTTGTTTTAAACTGAAAGAGTTTTAGAGAAGCAAAGTACAATACTACCAAAAAAAATTAGTATGTCCCAAGAAGCTAAAGAGAAGTTGACATCTCCTGTGGTCCATCCACGTCCTCCCCATATTATTACCTATGTTGCCTATCCAAAATCTAGTGAGAACAATAAAACAGAAAACTCACAATGGGCAAATTCTGTAAATTGCCTGTCTCAACTTCTGAAGAAACTGTTCTGTAAACGGCGGAAGATTCTTCTCCAGCCATAAGCAAGGCATAGGCTGAGGCTATCTGGGTAAACAGTCGGTACTGCTGAGTCTGGAAGTCCAACACTTGCACTTCTCCAGCCCTAGAAACCAAAAACAAGCAAGAAAAAACACTAGTTCAAGCATGAAATTTAGAAACCAAACAGGAACTGTATACATGAAAAAAAAAATAGTTCAAGCATAAAAATTGGAAACCAAACAGGAACTGTATACATGAAAACAAAAATTGTTCAAGCATAAAAATTGAAAATCAAACAGGAACTGTATACATACACACATACACACACAAAAACACACTAGTTCAAGCATGAAAATTGGAAACCAAACAGGAACTGTGTACATGACCCAAAAAAAAAAAATAGTTCTAGCATGACAACGTGAGGACAAATAAAAATAAGACTTAAGAGATGAAAGAGAGAGGCTAAAAATATTAAGCTAAACAAAGATATTTTAAGAGCAGATAAAGAGATTCAGGAGGCATACAGAATGATTGTGAGAAACCGGTACAATGCAATAGATAAGGTTCAAAGTATAGACAAACAATGAGAAATGCTAAAGGAATCTATCTATAAAACAAGCAAAGAAGTAATACAAGAAATAAGATTAAAAAAAAAAACAGAATTGGATTAATGAAGAAATTTTACAACTGACGGACAGAAGAAAACAAGGTAGAAATGACAAAGTAAAAAATGATAAGATAAATAGGGACATAATGTGTCACAGCAAATGAAAATTGGTTGAGAAGAACAAGAAAAAAAAAAAAAATGGAAATTTGTCAAGAACAGTGTGTTTTTGTGGAGGGAAAAGAAACAAATAATGCAATATATATCCTGAAAACACTGATAAAGAAATCAACTGAAACCTAGAAGAACTTTCATTTATGCTTTACAGATTACACAGATTACATGCTCAGCGGGCAGAACAGTCAAAGAAGCCAACGCCGCCTTCTCCATGACAACCAGCAGCATGACGATGGAGGTGATGGTAGTGAGACAAGCATTCGCCTGGCTCGAAAAAAAAAACTACACCCGCATATGTATACTCAGTGATTCAATGAGTATGATCTGGAGGGTTCAGGCAGGTTCGGTGCGAAGACAATGGCTTGAATCATTACAGAAGTCTACTGTGAGTGTGGTCACCTTTATTTTTGTTCCAGGATACGCAGGTGTCGATGGAAATGAAAAAGCTGATAGGTTGGCTGGATACACTATCACTACCGACGGTGAGCCTATGGATGATGCTGATATTATTAATGCCCTCAGAGAAATGGGAAGGATAGAGGACTTTGGGGGCAGTGAATCTACATCACTCGCCAGAATGGCAAACTTGGGAATTAAGATCGGCATAGCAAAAAACGAGACGCACACCAGACGACTTGTTAATCAACACAGAACTGGTACTATTAGCCCAAAATAGAACTGGTACTATTAGCAATGGAACGTTGGGGTTGATACTGAGGGGAGGATCTGAGCACCTATGGACATGTCCGGAGTGCAATGATGATAACCCAGCTAACTAACTAAGATTACACAAAAGCATTTGATAAGGTGAAACATAGGGAACTTGTCAAAATGTTGACAGATATTAACCACGATGGGAAAGATCTCAGAATAATGAAAAATATTTACTGAAAGCAAATGGCAGCTATTAATTTGGGAAATAGAATGGGCAGATATGAACAGATCCAACAAGCAGTAAGACAGGGCTAATGCGATGACCACATCAACCATCAAATGCTGACTGGTCTATACACAATTTTTTAATGTGATTCTTTGAAAATGCCATTAAAGAAATCGGATAAAGTATGTGTTGTATAATTTTACAACCAAAGGTAATCTTTGTACAACTTACCCTGCATTAATCTCAGACTGCCTGCGTACAGCACTGTACCTTGTTGCTATAGTAGCAGCCATGGCGAGTGCCCGTCCACAAGCACTTGCCATATGAGATCGTATAAGGGTCATAGAACCGTATAGAAGTCGATCATTCTTTGCGGAGACAAATGTGCCGTCCTCCAGGACCTTCAAAAAGTAAACATGGTGATAGAGACATCCTCACAAACTGACAGCTCTGAGATCAAACTAGGATTCATCAGTTAACCTTGGAATCTAGATATTTTGGTATAAGTGTATTCTGTATATTACCAAAGTGGATTTTTATGAAACACTGTTTTATACTAATAACTGTCCCAATGTGAGTTCTGGGGCCCAACTGTAGAGGTAAAAAAGAATAGACCCCCTGCCCTCTAAAAAGCAAGTCATAAAAGCTGGCTCATTAGGGGTGTTTCGTTCTAAGTCGGAGTGCATCTACTTGAGAGGTGAGGAACCAACAGTCTGCACACAAAAATATACACGTCTGTAAAACAGATGTGCAAGCAGATTTCAAGGTCTTGAACAAGACTAATGTGCAGAAGTGGATAAACAACCATCTACCCGGGTGGCTTATAGGTCCGCCAATGGACGACTCGGTCACAGGTCGGGAAAGTAGTCGGCTTTAGTCATTGTATCAACACAGCAAGAGCCTTTATCAGGGTTACTTGATGATGAGCACTTGTTAGCCATGAATATGGTGCAAATAAACACAGACCATAATATAACCAATAGCTTCAACCTGGGGGTAGCTTGTTAAATGTGGTTGATACATTTTTCCCCTCAACAAATTTGGAACTAGAGAACAGATGAGAAACCAGAGCTTTCCGCCGCAGTTTATAGCTGTTGAACACGTTGAAGAAGATACTAATATCTGTAAAGAAAACGTCACAATAAAGGTAAAAGTCCCTTTTACACACCTTTGGGCATATTAGGCATATAGGGCTCGACTTATATTGCATAGACTAATCAGCACTTGGTGGGTGACATGGTCAGCATTACCCCGGCCGCCTTTACTTCCCAGGACTGCACCTGGTACCCACCCAAGGCTGGGTCGACATGGATAATAAAGGTGGTTCTATAATATAAAGTTTGAGGTCCATACACTAGGCCACAGCATCCGAGGAGCAATTCTGTCAACAAATTGTTAACAGAGGACAGATGAGAGTTACTCAACTGATCTGAACTGTTCCTATGTGGGTTCCAGGCATGTATTTTAATCAGAGGAAGGAGGAGCGAGAGAAGAGACACACTGTTCCCTAACAAGCATGTCCTAAAAGGTGACTAATTATGGGTGTGCTAAAGTTTGATGCATTGGCCAGAAAGGTGCAGTTATTACAGCCTAGCTCAAATGATGGGCAGTTGCAGTGTTGTGGCGGTTAGACACTTGCCTGCGGATCGGAGGGTCGTGGTTTTCAGGTCCTGACGGAGCTGAACTTTCTTCAAAGATGACCTTGGTTCTCAGGTTGACCCAGCCCTGAGTGGGTACCAGGTGCAGTCCTGGGAAGTAGAGGTGGCCGACGTGATGCTGACCATGTCTTCCACCAGGTGCCGATTGGTCTATACAATACAGGTCTAGCCCTATATGCCTAATATGCATGAAGTTGTGGAAAAGGGTCCTTTACTTTAATTACTTTACCTTAAATTACAAGCACAGAATAAACATTAATGTGATACCAGCTGTACATGTACAGATATAAAAAGGTGTATAATTTTTAAAAGAAATCAGAGTTTATATAACAGGAATTGACTTAGTAAATGTACGGTTAGGACACATTCTATGAGAAGATGAGTAAATTCCTTTTTTTTTTGTATTTGTTTGTTTTTGTTCTGTTTCTGAAGTGGACACCGACCATCACGACTCTCCATTCCTATTTTTCACTTCTTTCTATTTTTCACTCTCCGCTTCTACTTTCGATTCTCCACTTCTCTTCTTCAGTTAAATGAGCTAATTTGGCCTGTGCTGTCCTTTTGCCCTGGCCAATTGTTTGTTTAAGCTTAACCTTATTCTCATTTTTGTATCTTAATTTGCTTATACTGAAAAATCAAAACTGCCGCTCCTTTTCACAACTCCCTCACCCCCCCCCCCCTCCCTCTTCTTTTTCCCCTCCCCTCTCAGCTAATTCACTCATTCTTTTTGTTATCATCAGTAGCAGTTTTGTGCAGTTAGGCCCTAAAGTTTAACAGATGGTAGAGGCTGCCGAGCCAGGTCAGGTCCTGTTGCTTAGTTTGCTGCAACACTGTGAGATGTTAACCCCTTTCACTCCATAACAATCTTTGAACAACATTACTCTTTTCACAATTTTGTTTGAAGTGAAACAAATCTGTATAATTCTATGAAACTCTAACCTTAGAAACTAGAGGAACAGAAGAAAAAGAAGAAGTAGGAGAAGAAGAAGAAAAAGAAAAAGAAGAAGAAGAAGAAGAAGTACACAGCTACTAGTTCTAAAGGATATTCCATTCCCAACTCACCTGGGCATACCTCATCAACATATTGTCTCTTGGAATCCTGACATCTTTCAGGATCAGAAATCCATTATCTATGAATCCAAAACCAAACTTCTGACCAATATCTCCAACAGTTATTCCTGGTAGAAAAAAGTGGAAAAGAGCTGAAGATATGATTGTGTTTCATGTTTGGGATGATTACCTCTTCAGTTACTTGTGTTTAATGTTTGGGATGATTACCTCTTCAGTTACTTGTGTTTAATGTTTGAGATGATTACCTCTTCAGTTAATTGTGTTTAATGTTTGGGATGATTACCTCTTCAGTTACTTGTGTTTAATGTTTGGGATTATTACCTCTTCAGTTACTTGTGTTTACTTTAAATACAGTAAAGGACCCTGTTCCACACTTGAGCCCTGTTTGGTTTATAATGTTTCTTCTTCTTATAGTCCATACCATGCAGCGTTGGAAGCCATGTATGTTAACAGTCTTCCGTCTCGTGCACTTTCAATCATTTCTGAGACAGATATTATTCCACACCATGATGTCAAACTATTTTGCATCTTCTCGCTTTGTCTACCCCTGCCTCTTGTGTCCAGCTTTTCCCAGTGACATGTTTTCTAGTTTTCTCCTGCTCATGATTTAACATGCCAGGCCCAAGAATGAAAAAAATAGTAACATCAACGAATTACTTTTTGCTGATAACCAGGTCTCGACTGCAGATACAGCCATGAATTTGCAACAACATCTCACATCCATGAATAAATAAAATAAATAAAAAAGAATTAACATAGAAAAGACAGAAGTAATATCAAAAGAAAGAAAGAAGCAGGATTTAAACATAGCATTAGAGCATACATATATTAAACAGGCATTTGAGTTTAAATATCTTGGAACAACATTCACTAAAGATGGTAAATTAGATGAAAAAATTGACATTCGATGCAGTAAACCTGGCCAAGTATTGGGACAGCATTAGGCAATCCCCATCAGCACAAAGAGACATCTCATAAAAAGCATATTGAATCCCATCTTATGCTACCTACCAGTGCCAGACGTGGTCACTTACAACAAAACATAAAGGATTTGAGACCCTAACCTTCAGATCCGCAGGTGAACATTAAGCCGCTATACCATGGCAGCTTCTAATGTATAAAGAGGAGACGTAAAATAATTAACTGAGTCACAGGAGCGTCATACATCATAAATCGGGCCTGATGCTAGCTTCCTATCTTTATGTACCAAACTGGCGCACAACTGGCTGTAACCTAAACTTCAGAGAAGGTACTGTGATACCTTCCTAAGTTACATATTTCTGGTTCTGTCATATCATTCTGTTTTTTCTAAGACACTGCAGGCACTAGTTAATGAATACATCTAGTTTATAAGAAACTGTCTCAACAATTCTCTGTGTTCCTGATCCGTACTGACTCTGCAGAGTTTAAAATTATAAGTAACAGAGCCAGAGGTCGACCAGGCAGAATATGGACCGCAAAAATATAAGATATACTGAAAAGCACTTTATACGATGCAAACAGAAGGGCCCCTTCCAGAGATTTCTTCCTGCCTGACACTGCAAGGCATTCCAAGAGTAGAGAGAAAGAACGAAAAAAAAATTCTAAGTATAGAATAAGGTTTAATTTTTTAAATATCCACAGACAGTGCTACGAAAGCTCTTTGTGATAAAATACATTCTGAATTATAAAAATTATCATGCTAAACTGTAACTAAACATAAGAACAATCATACATGACAGTGACTGACACAAATGAATAACAGCCAATTGCATATGATGTCATGTTGAAGACACACACAAAAAAAAGTTTATGTCTGGAATGTGTTGAATCTCTGTTCTGTTTCAAAATCATCATTATCATCATCTGTTGTTTGCCGCTGGATATCACAGACATTTCATATGTTGTATTACACAGACTCACATGCTTTGTAATTCTTTTTCTTCTTCGTGTTCACCGGCTGTAAACTTCAGTGGAAAGTTCTGGTTATTCGTCCACTTTTGGACTCTATTCCTGTTCCAGAACTTGAATGTTGCATGCACATTTGTTTTACAGATCTGACTCATCTGTATGCAGACTGCTGGTTCCTTGCCTCTCAGACATATGTACTCGGACTTCAAAGAAAGCTTCCTTTTAGTCAACTCTTACAATATACTTTTAGGAAGGCCGTGGGTTTGTTCTGGTTTTTCCTACAATGGGGCCCAAGAACCCATACCAGGAGCTTTGTAACTGTTCCTCCACTGCATGGTTTAATGGCAAGCCTTATCATGCAGCAAAATCACACTGAGACAGAACATGCCAGGACATTTAATCTTGATGGCTTTATACAGCTCCTCTAGTTTTTCCAAAACAGTGGGTTGAGCTGATACCAGATTCCTTAAAGTCTAGGGATATTTTGTCTGGCCTTCTTGGAAGAAATGGGACATTGTGCAACATCCAGCCTATAGTCCTGATTTGTTCCCACGTGATTTACATCCATTCAGGTTAGTTGCGTATCCTTTACAGGATGTTGCAGAACCAACCCCAAAAGCCCCCGGCTGTTGTGTGGTTTTTCTAGGCAAATTTATGTCCAGTAGTTTGCCATTGCTTTCTGGATGGTCGGCTTTCTTGATACCACTGTTGAAACCTTCGCAAGGCGCATACATCTGTTCAGACTTGTTTATAAAAAAAGCACTTTAAGGGCAATAATTTTCCATGGAACACCATCAAACATAACAAATAACTTATTTTTGTAAGGCTAAGAATTGGGGCGCGGCGTCCGTGGCTAAGGCGTTGCGAGTCCGACTCGTAAGCCAGCATACCGCGATCGAAACCCACTGCAGGCTGCGTGGATTTTTATCGTGGTATGGGACGTCGCAGGTCGACCCAGCCTAAAATGGGTACCAGGATGGGCTGTCCTGGGAAAGTAAAGACAGCCGGCGTAATGCTGACCACATTACCCACAGAGTGCTGATGGTCTGTAAAAATATGGGACGCTCTGCCCATATGCCCGATGCGCCAAAAGGCGTGAAAAGGGATTTTTACTTTTATTTACTAAGAATTGGGGCACTTAGGCCCATTATAACCTACCAGGTAAAGGTTGATGTGTTTCCAAATCTCGTATCTGTACTAGAAATGATTGTAGCCCACAGTCTCGACCATTGGTGATTAACTTGGCCATCAAAACAACAAAGTTGGCAGTCTTCCCCACTGCAAGTACAATAAACAAACCCATTTATAATGCCCAAAGCTGTTGTGTTTACTTTCCAATGTAGGTTCCAGGGCCTCATTGTTGAGAAAACAAGAACAGACCCACTGCCTCCCTACAAGCATGTCCTAGGAGTTGACTAACAGGAGGCATCCTATGAAGATGAAGTACACATGCTTGAGAGGCAAGGAACCAAGAGTCTGCACACAAATAAGCCGCCAGATGTATAAAATGGATGTGCAGGCAGCACTCAGGTTCTGAAACAAAACTGTGATCCGCAGGTGGACGAACACCCACAACTTTCCGCCGGAAACATGAAGAAGAAGAAGTTTTGTTTGCTTAACAACTAAGAAGCTGTCAGGACTAAATTAGAAGATAAGAAAGGGAAATGGCTTCCTTTGATAAAAAGGTTTAAGATGAAGGCACTTATGCTCAGCGGCATTCGTGGCTTAGGCGTTGCGAGTCTGACTCGTAATTTCAATGTACCGCAATTGAAACCCACTGCTGGCTGCATGGATTTTTATCGTTGTATGGGGCGTCGCAGGTCGACCCAGCCTAAAATTGGTACCAGGATGGATGTCCTGGAAAAGTTAAAAACCGCCGGCGTAATGCTGACCATATTACCCACTCAGTGCCAATTGGTCTGTAAAAATATGGGTGCTCTTCCCATATGCCAGATGCGCCTGAAGGCGTGAAAGGGATCTTTACTTTTTACTACTTACTTATGCTTAGCCAGATCTAGGACATGACAATTGAGCAGAGCATGTGGTCAGGTTTGTGAGATGTTGACTATTTATCTTAAACAAGTAATTAGCAATTGAAAATAGTCTCCAATCTGTCATAAGCATTTCCCCTTTTTTTCCACAAGGTCATGTCCCTTGCATCCCAAATATTCACACAGAAATACTCAATTCTTTCTTTGTATTTAGTGGTAAGTCTTCTTCTGCATTTACTTACAGAAGGCGATTGGTACGTTGTGCTGCGGTATACAGCTAGGCGATAACATTGGATCTTTTGGTCCACACACATCCAATTTCAGCAAACCCTTAGTCATTTAACCAGATTATGACCGGTACCATCAATACTGGAACTCTGCGATGGCTGCTGAAGATGAGGACGGAACATGCATGGGAATGCCCCAAGTGCTGTGATGTCAATTCTTGACTCAACTCAACTCTGTCACTGTGCCAACCCATCCAGTTACGAGTCTTTCTTTCTCATTTCTCAACCTGTTATCATGATCCATCTGGTTATCTACCTGGTTATCACAATGTTCTCTACATCCAATCTTGTCATATGCTATTTGTGCCTAGTTATTATGTTGGTAGCTCCAATGAAGTCATCTTCATCTGGGATGCAATTTTTGTGTGTTTTAGTTCAAGCCCCACCCTGGCATTTGCCGGGGGCCCTGAATATAGCCGGGGCATAAATATGGCCTAACGGCTGAAAAAGGTTTCTGGGACCTCTCCACGGGTGATCATCATTCGCACGGTGGCACTTTGTGTCACTGTGTGTTTATCACTTGTGTGATGTGCTGGTGGGGTACAACTACCTACCTTTGGTAGCTCCCTGTGCAGGTTCCAGGCCCATTTTGGAGAGAAAACAAATAAATCCACTGCCCCTTAACAAGTGTGTCGTAAAAGTTGATTAAATATGGGTTTACTGAAATCAGACATGTGAGGTTGAAAGAAAGGATCTAGCTTAAACAAGCTAACCATCCCTTTAGAGTGAAAGCAGACGGAGAAAATGAGCAACAATCTGTCTTTGTCACACATCATATAGCAGGTTCCCAGTTCTAAAGCAATGATTTTCTTCTTCAATGACCGTAAAATAGTAACTGATTCATATTTGTGCAATGAGACACCTTCTTTGTCATTAAAAACTAATCAAAATACAAACATTCTAAAAGTGTTGCAAGCATATACACAACAAACAATAATTAATCTACTCACATCCACCAGGCCAGAATTTAGCTGATGTAGTAGTGGGAGAGTTGATGATAAACTCTCTTGTTTTGGGGTCATACGTGGCTGTTGTTTCTAGACCGCGTACAAAGGTACCTGAATTTAAAACACAAAGAGTATACATCAAAAACTCCAAGAACAATTCCTTCACTTAGCAAAATTTTAGCAGCTGCATATTAAATTAACTGCCTTGAGCGGGTAACGGGTGCAGTCCCAGAAAGTAAAGGCGGACGGCGTGACGCTGACCACATCACCCATCTTGTGCCGATTGGTCTGTAAAAATAAAGGTCTAGCCCTAAATGCTATATACACCTAAAGGCACGGAAAAGAGACCTTTACTTTACTTTACTTTTATTAAATTAATTACGTCCCTGAGGTAATCCTATGTCAGATACGGCTGTAAGGGTGTGAAGTGTTTCACCCTCACATATACTAGTTCATAGTGTTAACAGATTGGGTCGCCAGCTTCCTCCCCACAGTATCTAAATCTAACTAATGGCTAAGTTTACGCATGTTTGTCTCATAATATTCATTCATTCATTCAGTAGCATGTCCCTCGCGGAACCTCGCTGCCATAACAACCCTCCGGAAAACCTTCCTATCCTGAGCAAGATGTCCTGCGTCTGATACACCCATCTGGAGATCATCTGCCACATCCTGCACCCATCTTCTCCTTGGCCTTCCTCTTCCTCTCTTCCCAGGCATATACCCCTCCATTATTGTTCTCTCTAGACTTCCATGACGTTTCAAGTGACCAAAATATTTCAATTTTCTTTGTTTTATTGTCTTTACTAGCCAACCCTCTTCAATATTCAGCTCTTGAAGTATGGATGCATTTGTTCTTTTCTTTACCCAAGATATTCTTAGAACCTGTCTGTAACATTTACATTCAAATGCATTTATGCGCTGTTCCGCTTGTTTAGTAAGTGTCCAGGTCTCACAGGCGTATGTTGCAATGGGAAAGATGCATGCTCTTAAAAATCTGACCTTTGTAATTCTATCTGTACAATTCCATAATTTATTCAGTTGTTTTAGTCTTTGAAGAGCAATTGGTAGTCGCCGTTTAATTTCTTTCATTGTGTCACCATTGTTGGTAACCAGTGACCCAAGATATTCGAAATTTTCCACCACTTCCAATCTTTCCTCATTAACATATATTTCCTTCTCCATGGCAGTTTTGTTTGTATGCATTATCTTTGTTTTTGCTATGTTAAGAAATAAGTTATGATTTTCACTTTTTCTTTGGAGTGAGGTTAATAAGTTTTCTAAACCATTTTGTGATGTTGATAATAATACTGTATCATCAGCATAACGAATTTCTGGTATTTCATGACCACCGATGTTTAGGGCATCATATTGTTCCTTGTTTATATCATCTCTTACATTTCTCATTATATTTTCGGCGTACAGGTTGAACAAATACGGTGACAGCACACATCCCTGACGGACTCCTTGCTTGATGCCAAACCAGTCTGATGTCTCTCCATCTATTCTGACTGCTGCTTGTTGGTCTTGATAGAGCATTTTAATGAGCTGCACTATATGTGATGGAAAGCCCATATTCCTCATGATTTCCCAAAGCTTCTGATGTTGTACACAGTCAAATGCTTTTGAATAATCCACAAAACATAAGAACAGATTTACATTAAATTCTCTACACTTCTCTATTATTAAACGCATGTTGAATATATGATCTCTTGTTCCTCTTCCCTGTCTAAATCCAGCCTGAGCTATATTAATCTCTTCTTCCATTTTCTTATGCAGTCCTCTCATTATAATTTTTAGTAGAATTTTACTTGCATGACTGATCAGGGCAATAGTTCGATAGTTTGTACATAATTTCAGGTCACCCTTTTTTGGTATTGGAATGAAGATAGTTCTCTTCCAGTCTTTTGACCAAATACCATATTTCCATATCTTTTCACATAATGCATGATAGATTTTTATGCTTTCTTCTCCTCCCGCTTTAATCAATTCAGCTGGTATCTCATCACATCCAGGTGATTTACCATTTTTCAGGCTCCTTATTGCCCATGAAATTTCATCTAATGAAGGTTCAGGTTCTGCCTCTACTGTTACTGGTTCATGTATATCATTCATATCCTCACTGTCATTCATATCATACATTCCGCTGCAGTATTCCTGCCATCTTCCTAGAATTTGTCTAGATTCTGTTAAAGTATTTCCCAACCTGTCACAAATAACATTTAACTGAGGTTGAAAATTTCTTGTCAATAACTTCATTTCCTTGAACATTTCGTAATCTCTTCCATTTTTATGATGCTGCTCTATTTTAATACAGCAATCTTGTACATACTGATTTTTATCCTTTCTTGTGTACTTTCTTATTTCTCGTGTAAAAATTTATATACTTTATCCTACTGTCATTGGTTTCTCCTTTCTTTTTCAGTTCCCTTCGTTGTTTTATTAGTTCTAACGTGTATGGTGTGATCCATGGTTTATGTTGCTTAGTCCTGGTAGGTATTAAGTCTTTAGCTGCTGTTATCAAGATATCCCTAGCTTGTACCGCCAGTTCATCAGGTGTCATTTCCTCTTGTACAGACATCAAGACCTCAAAACGGTTCTTCACTTCTACGTTGTATGCATCTGGTATTTTTGTGAGATCAAATCGAAATGGCCTTGGTCCTCGGGTAAGCTTTTTGAGTTTTAATTTCAGATCTGCTTCTAGTAACTGATGATCTGTATCGCAATCTGCACTTCGCAGGGTTTTTGCAGATGTTATGCTCGATCTCCATCTTCTTTGTATTAAAATGTAATCTATCTGATTTTTGGTAACACCGTCAGGGGATGTCCATGTGAAAAGCCTTCTAGGGTGGTGTTTATAAAGTGTGTTAGCTATTGTTAATTCATTTTCTATGCAAAATTCAATCAATTTTTCTCCTGTTTCATTTCTATTACCCAATCCAAATTTTCCTAAAACGTGTCTCTCATTTTCAGCTCTGCCAGTACCTACTTTAGCATTAAAATCTCCCATTATTATTATTATATCATTCTGATTAATTTTATTTAATGTGTCTTGCAGTATGGCATAAAAATCTTCAATTTCGCCCTCCTCTGCTGTTGAAGTTGGTGCATATACCTGCATGAAAGTTATGTTTTTTGGACGGCCTTTAAGTCTGATAGTTAGGATTCTATCACTAGCTGGATTATATCCCATAATAGCTTTTGCTGTTGTTTTATCTAAACAAAATGCCACTCCGCTCTGGCCTCTTACATCTCTACCAGAATATACGAAAAAGCTTCCATATTCATTGATAAAATGTCCCTTGCCACTCCAACGATGTTCACAAATTCCTAAGATCTGAATATTTAATCTTTCAATCTCATCACATACTACTTTAAGCTTTCCTTCATACAGACTTCTCACATTCCACGTTCCTATTCGCATTCTGTTTCTTAGTCTGACACAGTGGATTTCCTTGGTAACACAGTCAGGATTAACTCCGTCATCACGATTACTAGTACTGACCCCTGTATCACACTCTTCCCCAGTGTTATTTGATCTGCCTGGCCTGGGGGTCTCGCCACCAGATCTCTTCTGTGTTATGTTTTCTTTCATGATTGTTATGGATTCTTGGCAAAATTTGCAAAAGGTAGTTTGCCGTTGCTTTCCTCCTGAGCAGTGACTATACTAGTCAGTGGCCATAGCCATTGTCTCTACTGATGAGATCATCTGCCTATCGCCGCAGAGTGCAGACCATAACCAACAATACCTGTCGGCTGCTCTTACACTCCATCCACCACCTGCTTCCATGGCTTCACGTAACCCTGATTGGGGGGCTAAACGGGTACTCCACCTTGCCCAAGGGTGTCCCGTAGACTAGCGGAGGAAAGGAGGCGTCTTACTTCTCCTTTCTTACATTCAGTAGTTTGCCACTGCTTTCTGAACAGTTGACAGTGGCCTTGACACTACTATAATTCAAATCAATGCCAAAATGCTTGAAGCTGAATTGAACCTGGTATTCAGAGTTTATAAAATTGCCCTTAACCCACTGACTACCAAGATCGCACATTATTTTTTTCATTAATGAACTAATCGTTATGGTCAACGTGGTGGAACTGTTTAGAGAAAATTTCTTCTTCTTACGTTTGATTTAAATAAATTATTTACATCTGCAATGCTGTCTCTAGTAAGAACTTCACGGTCTTTTGTAATTCACTAAGCGGCCCGTAAAGTTTGACTTCAAGAAGTGTCTCTTTTGGCCAGAGGTTTTGCCTGGAAGCGTTGAATCTGGGACAGTCTTGGAGGATGTGATATGTTGTTTCAGGTGCCAGTCCACAGGTACACTTGGCTGATTCGCCAATCTTAAATCTTTTGTACATGTGGCAGCGAAGTCGATTGTGCCCTGTTCTGAGGCGAAGGATAATGACTTGCTCTGGTCTGTCCATAATATGGTAATCGTCTTGTGCCAGTTTCGGTGGCTTTCTGACTGATTTGATTATTCTCTTCTTCTGTTGATAAGAGACTGGTACGTTGGGTTGTTCTTCAGTTGCAGGCATAGCTAAGAAACTGCACCAGTCTGCCATGAAACTACCAACATGGCTATTAAACTGCTAGCATGGCTAAGAAACTGGGCTAGCATAGTTATGAAACTGCTAGGATGCATATGAAACTTTGTAGAATTGCTATGAAACTGCTAGCATGGCTCAGAAACTGTGCTAGCATAGCTATGAAACTGTGATAGCATAGCTATGAAATTGTGCTAGCATGCCTCTAAAAATTGGGCTAGCATAGCTATGAAACTGCTAGCATAGCTATGAAACTGCTAGCATAGCTAAGAAACTGCTAGCATAACTATGAAACTGCTAGCATAGCTATGAAACTGCTAGCATAACTATGAAACAGCTAGCATAGCTATGAAACAGCTAGCATAACTATGAAACTGCTAGTATAGCTATGAAACTGCCAGCATGGCTATGACATTGTGCTAGCATGCCTCTAAAACTGTGCTATCATCCCTATGATCATATGTATTCTTGTGTGTGCCCCTTGAAAGGTCAGCTGGCAAAATGTGTTGTTGTATACAGCTAAGCTCTAATATCTGCGACTTTTGGTCCAACACTTCAATTACAGCAAATCTTTAATTAGTCACTTTTTATGATATCCTTACTAAATAGCAGTGGTTTTATGGCTCCAAAATCAGCACGAGCGGCCCAATGTTTAAAGGTGAAATTTACTTTTTTTAAATTGACCATTACCTTTCTAAGATACACAGTCAACATCTCACAAACTAATCACAAACTTGTCCACATGCTCTGCTCACTTACCATGGCCTAGTTCAGTCTGGGCATAAGTGCCAATCATCTGAAACCTTTCTATCAAGGGAAGCCATTTTGCTTTCTGCTCTTCTGAAGCTAATTTCTGCACAGCTGGTAGAAATGCCAAAACATGTATAGCAAAAGGGTGGCCCTCTATGAAGGTGCTGAAAAAGAAAAATAAATAAATGTTTTCAATACCAGCAATAACAAATTCAATACATGAAAGGACATACAATGAAACCTTTTTAACCCACTGACTACCATAACAGCACTTTGAGTACACCTGCTGCGACTAACTTTTGAAGCTCCCCTCCATATTGAAATCACGATTTTTGCATTAGCTGTAGCTGAAGTGCATTAATTTTCCTATGTTTCTTTAAGGGAAACAACTCTGTTGTGCTTACAGTAAAAAATTTATTTCACAAATCTTCATGGTGAGCTCCCATGCCAACAACACTTCGACATATATTTTGTCACGGCAAAGAATGCTGTGGCAATATTTTTGAGGATTTTTCTGGTGCTATGGAAGATTTTCTGGATTTTTCTTTGGAAAGTGCAGGTGAAGATATTACTGAACAGTTTGATGATGTATGACTTTGAAAAATCTTACAGAGTGACACCCAAAAAAATTATCACAACTCTGTACGAGTACAGAATCTATACTAACAGACACATCTAACACTGTACAACTGAAGCACTAGCATTTTCCCCATCACCCCCTAGAGTCTTGCCCTAGATCTTAAGTTTTGCATGTACATCCATTTTACAGATTAGGCTTATCTGTATGCAGACTGTTGGTTCCTTATCACACTGGTTGATGCACTTCTACTTCAAAGAAAACAACTAATTAGTCAACTCTTATTACATGCTCGCTAGGGAGGCAGTGTGGGTCTGTTCTTGCTTTCCTCACAATGGAGACCCAAAACCCACACAGAGATTCATGATTCTAATTTTGAAGTGTATTATGTAATTTTGGGGAGCCGCCATGGTGTAGCAGCTAGACACTTGCCTGGGGATCCGATAGTCGTGGGTTCAGGTCCTGGCAGAGCCTGCATGTGTCAAAAATGACCTTGGCTCCCAAGGTCAACCCTGCCTTAAAAAGATACCAGACAAAGTCCAGGGAAGTAAAGGCTGCCACCATGATACCCTTAAAAAGATACCAGACAAAGTCCAGGGAAGTAAAGGCTGCGGCCATGATACTGACCTCACCACCCACCAAATGCTGACTGGTCTATAAAACACAGGTCTAACCTTATATGCCTCAAGATGTGGAAAAGGGTCCCTTTTTAAAACTATATCATGTAATTTACCAAGGGTTTAGATTGCCATTTACCTTATTTATTCCTATTATCTCTGTCTTGCCCTAATAAATCTTTAGCCCTAGCTGATATGACCAATCAAGTGCCTTTAATCTATCTATATCTTATCTACAGTGTGGGATATGAGAGCAAGGTTATCCACAAAGTCTAGATTATCAAGCTGCTATATCAGTGTCTAATTCAAATGGTTATCTTCATGACAAAATCTACTATCATTAAGCATATAAGGTGAATAAAGACTGAAATGCAAAATAAACGCTTTAGACTAATGATTTTGTTAACATTTTAATATTTAATATGATTACAGAAAGTACAGTAACCTGTTTGTGAAATATTAAAAAATATGGACAGTACAAAGTATCCATATCAGGAGAGACTGATGCAGCTGGGAGTCAGTATAGTGACTGGATCATTTCTCATTGTAAAGGGGAATAGACAGACATATTTATAATGTAGAGGGCAAAAGACAGGCAGTTTTTTATTGTAGAGGGGAAATGACAGACACATTTTTTATGTAAAGAGGAAAATAACATATATATATTTTTAATGTTGAGGGCAAAACATGGGCAGATTTTCAGTGCAGATAGGAAAAAACAGACATATTGTTAATCTAAAGGGGAAAAGACAGATTTTAATCAGGTTGCAGCTGTCACTATCAGCCTGGGCTACTGAGAAAGGGGCAAACTTGCATGGGAATGTCTTGAGTGTAGTGAAGTCAACTGCTGACTAACTGAATTAATCATTCATTCATTATCCATTTACTGTAGAAGAGACTCCAACTGCTTGTGGTCAATAAAGGGCCATAATCTATGAAGGGAAAAATCTCAAAATGTCTACAAAAGTGTTCAATGAGTTGTTGAGTTGAGATGAGTCAAGAATTGACATCATAACACTCATGGCATTCCTATGTGTGCTCTGTCCTCATCTTCAGCAGCCAGCGCAGTTTCAATACTGATGGCACTGGTCAAAATCTGTTTATATGTTCGTCCTGTCTTTACTCTGAGTGTAGTGACACGGCCAGACCCTCTGATTACACCCAGGTGCCTCATTCTCTACAGGTCATAATAATCTTCTTTCTCTACTGATTCCGTTGCTTGTTTCCAAAGGGCCTTGACCACATCTGCCTTGTCATGTATCAATTCACCACCCAGTGGTGCAGATCCAGCTAATCTGTCTGCCTGTTCATTACCCACCACGCCGGCATGGCTTGGAGACAAGATTTAAAGTATGCTTACTACCCGTGACCTTCCGAGTGAAGCTTGCCACTCTGCACCTTCATCATCATGCTTTCAGAATATCGTAGACATGCGTGTGCATCTTTTTCTCTAGCCACCGGAGAGCTGCAGTTACCGCCTCCACCTCCAATCTAATGCTAGATGTTGTGGGGTCGTTTGCTAAGGCTGTCTTGCACTAAAGATTTTCCATTGGCTTTCACTATGAACCCCCAAGCACTTCTCTTTCCTCTCAACACTGAACCTTCTGTATAGATAATCAGATCACCTGGGCATTAAGTGTTGGAGAGGTTTCACATAAAACCTACTAAATATTTTATTCATGTCAATGTTCTCATTTTTTTTTTTTTAAATGCCCACAAATGCTGTTCAACATCTCTCCACTGGTTTAAGATTAAGAGGTATCAAGTAGCACAATTCACCATAATTAGCCATTGACTCAGTATTATGTAACTATGGCTGAACTGTTCACACTGACACCTTCATTAAGAGCAACAATAAATACAACAGCTTGTAATCGTTTTTGTGTCTGTGTGTGTGCATGCATATTTTTTTGGTTATGTGTGTAACCTTTGCAGCCATTTTAGCAAAGGGCTTCCTAGGTGACTTTGCAAAGAGCTGGCACTTTTCTAATAAAATCAGTATTGTTTCTTTAATCATGACACCAACAAATTACTACAAATTTCAGTATTACTTAAAAAAACTTTCTTAGTGTTTTCTCCATTTGTGACAGATTTGCCTTTCTAAACCATACGCTGTGCACATGCAAATTAAGTAGCTTTGTTTTCAGTTCCAATCACTTTACCACAAGCATTACATTTTTTGTTTGTTTTTTAAATGACCAGAAACAACCTTTGCTTTCCCTCAGACACAGATTGATTTTTGTTTTCCTTTGCCTTTTTACACTTACAGTGTGTCGAACAACATATCAAAAACATAAAGAACATACTGTGTGGCTTTTTTTTTTTTGGGTATGTAACCACTTTCTTCTTCTTTACATCCTCTTTTACTGCTTCAGGTATCAAGGGAGATGTAAGGTCCTGCTTCGTGTTCTTTTGCCTGCTTCAACCATAGAAACATTGTGGTGCTGTAGACTTTCTCTGATGTTATCTTTCCATATTGTTCTTGGTCTACCTCTTGCTCTGCATCCCTCTCTTTTGGTATATGCCTTGTATGGTATAGCATCAGAAGGCATTCTCTCCAAGTGGGCAAACCATTTGATTTGCTGTCTTTGTATGTAATTTAGAATTGGTTCATGTACCAATTTTCATTGTCCAATAACTTGAAATTAGTGTATTCCAAGCTGTTTTTTTAAACTGCTTTTAAAATATTGCTGGACTGAAAGATATGCATCACCAGACTGGAGCTTCCTTCGCCAATAAATTTCTATAGGTTTCACCCCTACACTAATAAAAAAAAAATAAAAAAAGAATACAAAACACTGCTCCTTTTTGGCCCATGTCAAAAGTGGGGTGGCCATATTTAAACTGTCCTGATGTCAATGTGTCTGTATGTTTATCTGCAGGTGATGACATTAATTTAACATGTGATGACATTAATTTAACATTGTTGACATCCTTAACAACAATAGTGACAGGTTAGAAGACAATGGCACGGTTTTTGTAATTTCTGTAACACTTTTTAAGATTTCATTTGAAGTTGCTTAGTATTACTTGATAATGTCAGTTTATGCTACTTTCAATGGACAGACTGGCATTAATATTTGGCAGCTGAAAGTATCACAGAGATGGTGACAGGGCGGAGTGGAAGGATAGGTGACAAATATACCATTATCACCAACAGTCAATAGTGGTTCACATTTATTGTACTTCTTAGTGTCCTCCAGGTGTGAGCTTTGGCAGGAAGTTCTGGTTGTTTGTCCACTGCTGGACTTTGATCTTGTTCCAGAACTTGAGTTTTGCCTGCATATTTGTTTTACAGAGTTGGTTTATTAGTGTGCAGACTGTTGGTTCCTCCCCTCTCTGGTAGATGAACTTTAAAGAAACACCCTGAATTAGTCGCCTCTTACAACATGCTTGCTAGGGGGCAGCGGGTCTATTCGCCATTCACTCAATGTGGCCCTGGAATCTACATCTTACCTGCAATAATTAACAACTCCTGTTTTAAGAATACATAAAAAATGGAATTGCTTTGAAAGAATTATGTGCTTCCATTGTTCTTGTGAGAGCTGCCATGGTGTAGCGGCTAGACACTCACACATGGATCGGAAAGTTTGGGTCTGTATCCAGATGGAGCCGGACTTTAAAAAAAACTGAACTTGGCTCTCAGGTCGACCCAGCCTTGAGAGGATACCAGGTGCGATCACGGGAAGTAAAAGCAGACGGTGTGATGTTAACCAAATCACCCAGCTAGTGCCGATTAGTCTATAATATAGAGGTCTAGCCCTATATGCCCAATACGCCTGAAGGTATGGAAAAGGGTCCTTTACTTTACTATTTATTCTTCTTCTATGTTCGTATTTTTTAAAAAACGGGTGGCGTAATATGTTGCGGTTCACAGCTATCTGTGCTTTCGGACAAACACACCAGATTTCAGCAAATCCTTAAGTACTTATTTTTTTTACAACATGCTTATTAAGACGGAGGTAGCTCCTGCCCCCCCCCCCCCCCACCCCTTCCAGGTAAAAAAACTGACAAAAAGGGCCATGGAACCTACAGTCTGGAGCTCTTCAATTATGACTCAGTGGCCTCTTACGACAGGCATAACTGGCTTTACAGTAACTGCTGTGTGATTCTGATAAAACCCCAGGAACAGTCAGTTTTATGTCTTAGCATTCACAAATATATTTACAGGGTCTCATATGTTTCCATACATAGGAAATATAAACATTTTTTATTTATGTAATATGAAGTATGTGTCTTTTAAAACACATTTCAATATGTGTTCTTCTCTGCTGAATAACATACATCTTCAGCAGTGAAGAACACGCACTGAAATGTGTTTTAAATGACACATACAGCTGGTGTTATGCTTGTAATAATGAGGATATGTTTTTTCTTCTTATGCATGGAAGCGTATGGGACACCATACATTATTTATTTTATCAACTACTGGTATACAGAAGCTAACTAGCTTCTCTGATGGTAACTGACTAGACATATGTCTAACATTCAATGTAATGAATATACAGTACCTCTTTCTTTTGTACTTTAGACTCATACTGTCTTTTCATTATGAGTCGATAGAGGAGGAGGCTATCAGCCCTTCGTCTTCTTAAAGTCCATGTCATGTCGCTTTGGTAGTCATGTCTATCTACAACCGTCTGTCTTGTGTACTTTCAATCAACTCTGATGCAGATGATCCTCCGTGCCATGATATCAAACTATCCAGCATCTTTTCTCTTGGTCTCCCTTTGCCTCTCCTCCCCTTCAAATTTCATACTGTCCAGTTTCCTCCTCCTCATCATATGACCAAAGAATGTAGAATGTATGAATCACACATGATATAAACATAGACTATAGAGTACAAAAGCTCTCACTTACTTTCTATACAGGCTAATATCAGCCGGGTCTTGTAGACCCAGCTCAAATATCCTGCGGTAGGTGGCAGTAACTTTCTGTAAGGCAACTTCATACTGTTCTTCTTTGCTGAGTTCAGAGAGTTGGCAATCATTAACCTTCTTGCTTTCTTTCAGAGCCAAATGTTCTATTTCAGGGAATTCAATTTAAGTAAATGAAATGGACTGACAAATCTTGTGAAAATTTTCTCAACTCCATCAGTACCAGGCAATTCACTGTAGGTTTATTAGTGTTTTATACATGGTCTATATTTCTTTACTTTACTATTGCACGGTTACGTTTTTATAACCCATTGATTACAGCTATTATTTTTAACTCACTATGTTCTAAAGTTATAGTATTTCACCCATCCTTGGGCTAAGAATGTTATTTTCTTCTTCTTTCTTCTTTGCGTTCACCAGCTGTAAACTCTGGTGGGAAGTTCTGGTTGTTTGTCCACCTCTGGATTTTAGTCTTGTTCCAGAACCTGAGTGTTGTGTGCACATCCATTTAACAAATCTGACTTAACTGTACACAGATTGTTGCTTCCTTGCCTCTCAGGCAGATGCATTCTGACTTCGGAGGAAGCCCCCAATTAGTTGACTCTTACGACATGCTTGTTGGGGAGGCAGTGGCCCTATAAGGGGCCCTGAAACCCACACAGGGAAATGTGATTTTAAAAAACACATACTTTTCAATATAAAGTTGCTGAAGCAACACATCAGTGGGACTGAAAGAGTTAAGTAACTGAATGTATTAATTACCCGTGCCGACAACTACTAAATAATCTACAAAAACATATATTGCATCTTAAACTAAATAATTCAGTCTGTAAACACCATATATTTTTTTACTGAATCTGGAATCATACAAGATGTTTTCTTCTTTATCCCCCACTAAGGCATAGGCTCCCGATCAATTCACACTAAGCTGCACTATCTTCTGTCATTTTCTGCAGCTCCAAACATGTCCTCTCCATACAAATCTTCTTCTTGTTCAGTGTTCACCCTTAAAAGGACAGCTGGAATGCTGTGTTTGGGGTTTACAGCTAGGCTGTGATACGTGCACCTATCAGTTCAAAACATCCTATCTCAGCATATCTTTAGATGCCTTTTATGACATGCTTGTGGGTCTATTCTGTTGTCCCCCCCCCCCCATTTTTCTAAAAACAGAGTATCGGAACCCAAACAGGAATTTCATATGATTCATCTATCTCTAAGTATTTAAATAACTAGATTTCCCACTATTTATTTTGATGTCACAGTGACAAAATAGTTGGAGTATGTGCCTGACAAGGCTGGCCCAGGTTCTATCCCAGGCACAGGCAGTATAATTTTTACCCAATCAATATGGTTCTGAGATCTAGTCAGTTTTATAAAAATGGGTGGTAGCCCCATTCCTGAGAAGGAAAAGGGATGAAGGAAACTGGCCTCCAACCCCATATAACTTAGTCTAATATGTGAACACTTCACGCTCCAGTAAGTCTTCTTTACCTAAATGGAAACCATTTGGCAGATTCAAAAAATATTCAGCAACGCTGCCATGATCTAAACTGCCGTTACCGAATGTATTTACCAGTTCTGCAGTGTAGGTGGGGAAGGTGTTTAATCTGAGGATTTATGGCCGCATGGCTATTGCTGTCACTATATGTGAGGATCTCCAGCCTTACGGAGGATTTGAACCCTGCCTCCAGCATGAGAGCTCTGCATTCTTAACCATCCGGCCAGCCGCTCCTCATAATGCCATGATTACCACACAAATAAACAAAGTGGTATAATCACTTCTAAGATGGCAGCACAGTGATGCAAACTACAGTGCAAACTAGATCTTGAAAGTCCTCAATCAGTCTAAATGATGAGGTCATTGATCAAGTGCAGCCTTTATAAATTAGTAAGTAAACAAGCAAATGTGCATTTTTAATCCAGTGACACATCAGTCAGATGAGGATGCTTCTTAAAGTTCTTGCCGAGTGGTGATAGACCCATGTCTATCCACAATCTTCTGTCTCGTGGACTTTCAATCAACTCTGACACAGATGATCCATATGCCGTGATGTCAAACTGTTCAGCCTCTTTTCTCTGGTCTCTCTCTGTGCCTCTTCCCCTCCAACATTTCTACTGTCACTCGCACTCCAGTTTTTTTATTTCTTTCTATGACATGACCAAAGAATGTAGATTGTCTCTTTCTGATGTGAGCAATGAGTTCTCTTTATGAGTCAGTTTCTTACAAGACATCTTTATAACCCTTTTTTTCTGTCCAGGGTATTCACAACATTATTCTGTAAAACCACATCTCCACAGCTTCCAAATAAGTTTTCACTAATTCACCAACTATCCATGATTCACTTCTGTACATGAAGATAGGATGCTTAGCTCATATTTTTTTTTTTTAATTATCAGTACCTGGTGTACAGGACTGCTGTCAGAAGTGCATGTTGTCCCAAGTAGTGGGTGAGTTAGTCGAGGTTCGGACTTCACTGCAGAGGGGTGACCCCATAACTGATCGGCTCTTTTGCCAGTGGAAATCACATAAAATGTCAATCACTGTGGCATTTGAAAACCAGTGAAAAACTTGCAGCTTTCACACTCAAAGTAAAAATGCATAAGGCAGCTGTCAGATGTGACAAAAATAATGGTTCCATACTAGAAGTTGCAGCTCACTGTTGGCACAAATGGTAAATCATAAAAGCTCGCTCTGCACCCACATAAGCTCACAGTGTTACACCAAGCACTCAACTCAGAAGCAAGGCAACAGAGAAGGGGATAATGTTTACAGACCTCCAGCTGATTAACTGTTTTATTTATTAGACACCTTTTGAACAGATGTTATATTTTATAAAATAATTTTGTTGCCACAATATATTTTACTAAAAAATTTGTTCTTTCTACAATATACTCGCAAGCGAAGCTAGATAGGGAGCATAGCTAAGTTTAGAATATACTGGCAACTGTAGCTAGGAAGCATAGATATCTTTTTAGAATATACTGGCAAGTGAAGCTTGCTAGGGAGCATAGATTATATAAAATAATTTTGTTGCCACAATATATTTTACTGAAAAATTTGTTCTTTCTACAATATACTCGCAAGCAAAGCTAGATAGGGAGCATAGCTAAGTTTAGAATATACTGGCAACTGTAGCTAGGAAGCATAGATATCTATTCAGAATATACTGGCAAGTGAAGCTTGCTAGGGAGCATAGATTATCTATTTAGAATATACTGGCAAGTGAAGATAAGGATCATAGATTATCTATACAGAATATACTGGCAAGTGAAGCTTTGGAGCATAGATAAATATTTAGAATAAAGAATGTACTGGCAAGTGAAGATAGAGAGCATTTATTCAGAATATACTCACAAGTGAAGCTAGGTAGCATAGGTAGTAAAGTAAAGGACACCTTTTCCTCTCCTTTGCCTTTAGACATCTTAGGCCAATAGGGCTTCTTGGGCACTTGGTGACCAATAGGTAATGTGACCAGCATCACGCCGGTAGCCTTTACGGCTCTCCTCCGAACTTCTACCCGATATTATGGCGGCCATAAAATATCCTTACGGGGCTCAGTCCTATTAAAAATATGCCGGCTCCGTATAAGGAAACAAATGCTCTAACAGGGTCTCAGCGATATGTTAATTGCGGACCTGTTTCTGAGACTATGCCTCACCGCCGACCATATCCCCTGTGCCGCTACGCGCGGCGCAGATGGGAGCTAAACTAATGGCTGGGACTCACCAGCAGCAGCTACCGCATCTCCTGCAACTTCCTCCAATTAATTTTCTCGGTGAGTCCCAGTCACCTAGTTTAGTCCCCCATCCGCGGCACGGGTGATATACGCTCGGCGGTGAGTTTAATCGCGTTTTTAATCGCTATTATCATCTGCTAGTATCGTCTGCAGAAACGCTCCAAATTGTCAACGGTCGCTAATATCGCCTGCTACTATCGTCTGCAATGTTGCGTCTCTTGAAATTGTCAAGTAATCCTAGTTTTGCCGCGATTTGTTCCTTGGCAGACAGTCCGCATTTTACATATGCCTCAGCCCCGTAAGGATATTTTATGACCGCTATAATATCGGGTAGAAGTTCGGAGGAGAGCCGCCTTTACTTTACTTTCCAGGACTTTATCTGGTACCCATTTGAGGCGGTGTCAACCTAGGAGCCAAGGTTACTTATGAAAAACAAATGTCTTCCGATCTGCCCACAGGCGAGAGTCTAGCCACTACACATCGGCTAACCCTACTAAATAAGATACATTTGTGTGTGTGTGTGTTATTAATGATCATTATTTACATGCACCGATAGTGAAAATCCGATAATACTTACGTAAGAAACGTCTCCGTTTAGTCTTTTCAGGTCCATCATAAATAAAATAAGTGAGCAGCAAAGGATCAAAAGTCGCTTGAGATCTACATCGATCAAGATCAGGGTTCACTATCGCCGCCATTTTAATCTCTGTACAGAAGAGATCATGAATCAGGATACAATTTGACATTTTCTTTCACCAAAGAGTCACCCATTATACAAGAGACTCGGGGGGGGGGGGGGGGGGGGGGGCGTCGACAGGGTTGTCGAAATATTTTCGGGAATTAGAGATCCTTTTTTGCGCCTTAGGCGCATCTGGCATTAGGGAAGACTACCCATATTTTTACAGACCAATCGGCAGTATGATTTTAGGGAAAAGTACCAAATTATTTCGAAACGGTACTAAAATGCACAAAAAAGTTTCCATTTTTTTTTCCCATTCATAGTTTAAAAACGATAAAAACTTCTTATTAAAAAACACGCACACACTCACATACATGTGTGGGTGGGTGTGTGTGTGTATATGTGTGTGTGTGTGAATGGCAACACGACAAGGGGATTCTGACAGCGTAATTGACCTGGCCCTAGTATCTCCCTCCATTGCTTCAGGATGCAGGTGGAGCACATTGGGATACCACGACAGTGATCACTTTCCTTGCGTCGTCCTGGTAGAGAAGAGCAACAACAAAGGTCATGTAATCAATGTGCCTGCTTTTATATATGACCGTACAGGGCAAGATGCCATTAGCAAAATCCGACGACGTAAAACAAGAGCAGATCGCAGACGGCGGGAGAGATGGGCCCAGCCACCATGGTGGAATGAAGTAGTCAACATGGCGTGGCTAGAAAAAAGGAAAGCTGTCAAGGCATGGCAAAAGGCAAGGAAAATTGATCCGTCACTTTCTGAACGCCTGATCAGTCTGAAAGATGAGGTCAACAAGCAGACAGTGGCTTTCAAGTTAATTGCGAAGGAAGCTAAGACAGCGAAATGGAACGAATTCTACAAGAGCGTTTGCTCCGAGGGATCTCTTGTGACATTCTGGTGCCTTCAACGGAGCTTGCACGGTGCCGCACGACCAAGGGGTATCCCTGATTTTCAGGGTACAGACCTGATATGGCAGAGAACTGATGCTGATAAAGGAAAAACCCTTCTGGCGCGCTACTTGGAGCAAACTTACCAAAAAGACGAAGCTACAAGAATAGGGGTTAAGATGAAACTGTCGATGCTGTGCGAGAACACTGTGCTAGGCACTGATCTCACAATCACTGCAGATACCTTAAGAACTTGCCTCAAGAAATCGCGCAGCACTGCTCCAGGCCCTGACGGCATCCGATACAACGACATGCTGATGATGTCGAATACTGATTTAAAAAGCGTGGCAAAGGAATTCAATATCAGCATCCAGAGTGGCCAGATACAAGAGGAATGGCTCCATAGTTATTTGTTCCCACTACCAAAGCCTAATAAAGACCACTCAAAGATCTGCGGCTACAGAATCATCTCGATGCAGAATACTGTTGGCAAACTTTTGGAAAAAATTGTCGCACAAAGATTGACCACCTACTTGGAACTACATGATAAGTTGCCACCAACACTTGGAGGGTACAGGTTAAATAAAGAAACATGGTTCAATGCTGCAGTTTTCGCCTACGATGTGTACCAGGGATTTCAGATTAAAGAAGAGACATGTGCGGCAGTGTTGGACTTAGAAGATGCCTACAATAAAGTACCATATGATTATTTAATGCAATTACTGCTTAAACTAGAAGTTAATCCTATTCTGATCCGCTGGATTGCTGCGGTCCTGTTCCAGAGAAAGATTGTACTAAGATGTGGTAGCTGGTCCTCAGAACCGCAAACGATATGTCCAGGCTTGCCACAGGGATCACCGCTATCACCAGTCTTATTCAACGTTTATACGGTGATGATCACTGAGCAGCAGTTGAATAGAAAGGGAAGGACTTTGTCATTTGCTGATGACATTTTGATTTATCGACGAGGGCGTGATAGACAGGAGATCGCCAGCACTATACACAAAGAACTCGATCGAATTGCCGCCTGGTGTGATGGTTCCAATGCCTATGTCAATCCTTCGAAGGCATCAGTGTCATGGTTCTCTTTAAACAATCACATTGTCAAGTCGGACTTACCAGAAGTGAAAATGCGTGATAATGTATTGATCAGAACCAATGTTATGGCGTTTCTCGGGGTGAGGTTCGATCGCAGCTTGTCATTCAGGGAACACGTTGACCATGTGATAACAAAGGCACGCAAAGGTCTATCTGCAATGAGGATTATGGCTGCTTCCAATATATAGCAAAGACTACAAATACTTCTATTCTACGGTCTGGTCCTTTCCCCCATTGAATACGCTCTGGCCATCCTCACTGTCAGTGCTACCCAGATTGAACGACTCGAAAACGTGCAAAATGAAGCCATGCGCATTATTTTGGGATGTACAAGAGACACATCCTGTGGAGCAATGAGGTATCTACTTGACTTTCCAACAATGAACCAAAGGATCAGGATGTGGAGGGCTCGGGCATATCTCAAAATATGTGCTGATAAGAAACACCCACTGCATACACATCCTGTGGAGCAATGAGGTATCTACTTGACTTTCCAACAATGAACCAAAGGATCAGGATGTGGAGGGCTCGGGCATATCTCAAAATATATGCTGATAAGAAACACCCACTGCATCAAGCGCTTTTTAGTGAAAAGGGCGACAGACTGAAGAGGAGGAAATCGTGGCTAGGTCGGACAGAAGATGTTATTAGGCAAATATGCAGCCTAACCGACATCATACCTGGTGCAGAATGGATACCTATGCCTCAGGCGTTTATTTGTACATTTTCCCGTATTGTCACACTCAACAGGCTATGTAGAGAAGAGAATCCTGTTGCTGTTAATGCAGAGGTCAACGCTCTCATCTGTGAAAATTCAGACGAAGCAGATGCAATAATCTATACAGACGGATCCGTTATACGCCAAAGAAGAAGCGCATGGGCATTTACAGCACGCTTAGCGGGCAGAACCGTCAAAGAAGCCAACGGCGCCTTCTCCATGACAACCAGCAGCATGACGATGGAGGTGATGGCAGTGACGCAAGCGCTTGCCTGGCTTGAAACACAAAAATACACCCGCGTGTGTATACTCAGTGATTCAATGAGTATGATCCGGAGGGTTCAGGCAGGTTCAGTGCGAAGACAATGGCTTTAATCATTACAGAAGTCCACTGTGCGTGGAGTCACCTTTATTTTTGTTCCGGGACACGCAGGCGTCGATGGAAATGAAAGAGCTGACAGGTTGGCTCGATCCGCTATCACTACCGACGGTCAGCCTATGGATCATGCTGATATTATCAATGCCCTCAGAGAAATGGGAAGGATAGAGGACTTTGGTGGCAGTGAATCAACATCACTCGCCAGAATGGCAGACTTGGGAATTAAGATCGGTACAGCAAAAAACGAGACGCACACCAGACACGCCAGAAGACTTGTTAATCAACATAGAACTGGTACTTTTAGCCATCGGACGTTGGGGTTCATACTGAGGGGAGGATCTGAGCACCTATGGACATGTCCGGAGTGCAATGAGGATAACCCAACTAACTAACTAACTAATTAATATATATATATATATATATATATATATATATATATATATATATATACATACATACATACATACATACATCACACAAGTGTGTGTGTATGCTGGTAATGGCGGGGCAGGCGGGATCATAAATAATTTAGCTCACAATTTCAACAGAGAAATGTGGAGATTAAAATCGTTTTCCTTTAGTTTCAAATTGTATCCTTGATCTTTGTGCATTACCCAATTCTTCTGCAGCTGCAGAAATACTCAAATAGTTTTCTCTCTGCTTAACAATATTTAGATATTTTTTTTAAATTGAATTTCAATTCTGATTAAATGTAAAGAAAGCTAGTTTTAAATGTGGTAGCCAATAAGTTAGTCACAAATGATGTGGCGCGGTGATTTATGTCACAGGCGTGAGGGGAAGTTAAGTCCAACATGATGTGTATAAGGAGATTAGGAACATGAGTAGGTTCGACAAAAGTACAGCTAAAATCACAACCCTTGGTTAAAAGACTGCTGAGTAAAGAGAACATTGCTCAATGCTCATCCTCGGTTAATTCTCAGTGTCGTCGTCACCGCGCTGAGATGCAACACAACAGAAACCATACATGGGCTGGCCATCCTTGTGCATCCTCGGTTGGCCCTCAGTGTCGTCGTCACCGAGCTGAGGTGCACCACAACAGCAACCATCCATAGGCTGGCCAGTCACGTTCATCCTCGGTTAACCCTCAGTGTCGTCGTCACCGCGCTGGGGTACACCACAACAGCAACCATCCATCGGATGGCTAAGCCTAAATGTCCGACAAAACTAGATCATACGGATCAAAATCTGACCACCAAAATTTGCACTGAAATGCAAAAGGCCGAATGTCCATACCCAAAGACCCCACTCGCCCGAGTGTTGGGGACAAAACTGATAACGATATGCCTGATTCAGGATGTGAAATTCTGCCGGGCTAATGTACCTATCTGTGTGGTCACAAAAGTCCAAAACCAACGGGCTGCTCCCCGCTGACTTCCAGAGGGCGCAGCCCCTGTCGAGCGGGAGGCCTGATACGGTTGTGAGGTTAAGCAGGCATGTGCAGGACGTGACGATTCCTTGGTGAGCCCAGAACCAGAGCGCCATGTGCCGGCTCTGCATGCATGGAAGCCTCCTTGGATGGCGGGGAATGCCCATGATCTGCCCCTGCCTTCCCTTGAGGGCCAACTGTTCCACAGGGGGTTGCCCCAAAGGGGTACTCCGGGGGCAATACCTGCGACGAAGGAGACAAGGCGGACACCACACAAATCAGGCAGTCTCGACCCACACAAAACAATGGCCACAGTCACCCTAGAAATAGGCCTGACGTCTTCCTTCGAAGTCGGCGTACAGCTGCCCAAGAGGCAGGGAAATTAAAAACGGTTGTACACGCAAAAATCAGGTCCAGGTGAAGGCCAAAAGTCCAAGCGGACGATTAACCGGGACCTTCCACTGGAATTCACAGCCGGTGTTCGATGAAAAAAAAAAAAAAAAAGTCACAAATGATTATTGGATGACA